ACTACTACTACTACTACTACTACTACTACTACTACTACTACTACTACTACTACTACTACTACTACTACTACTACTGCTGCTACCACTGCTACTACTACTACGACTACGCCTACTACTACTCTAATTACGACGACTGTAAAAATTATTACTACTACTACTACTACTACTGCTACAACTACTACGACTAATACTAACACTACTACTACTACTCTACTACTACTACTCTCTAAACTCCTACTACACTACCACTACTACTAATACTACCTACTACTAGACGACGACTATCACCACTACCAATACTACGACTACTACTACTACTAACTAACTACTACTACTACCACTAAAACTACTAACTGACTACTACTACTACTACTACTAACTACTACTACTACTGCTACTACACCTCTAACGACTACCCTACTACTACTACTACTACTACTACTACTACTACTACTACTACTATTAGTACTAGTACTAGTATTGCTTCTTTTCCGACTACGACTATTACTACTGCTACTACGACTACTACTCCTACTACTAGTCCTACTACTACTACTACTACTACTACTACTACTACTACTATTACTACTACTACTACTACTACTACTACTACTACTACTACTACTACTACTACTTCTACTACGACTACTACGACTACTACGACTACTACTACTACTACTACTACTACTACTACTACTACTACTACTACTAATACTACTACTGCTAGTACAACAAATGCTTCTACGACTACGAATACGAAAACGACTAAGATGCCAACTACGACGACTACGACTACCACCACTACTATTCTTGAAGCCGGGTGGCACGCGAACTGCGCTTGTGCATAGTCGTAGCACGTCCACTCGGGCCGCGCGACCACGCCATCATTCAGGGTAGAGTCGCTCTCGCCAGTGATATGGTTGAACCTTGGAGCAAGGAAGCGAATAGAATATGCAGTATAGACTTTAGTGCTCTTTCACAGGCAGTATCGGATACGTCACGTAGTGCTTCATGAAACACGCCGATATCATTTCAACCTGACACTAACCAATACGATGGAAACTATCGACGAGGGCTGGATGGTTCACATTGGTATCGTGACCCTTAGACTGGCGGACAGCTACTCACCCCAAACTCGCCACCTCAGTGGTCATGTCAAACGGAGTGGTAAGCTGCGCATGGTGGAGGGACTCACAAAACTCCTTCAAAAAGCCTGACAACATGCTTCCCCAAGGCGACATGAATTGCCCAAGTTCCAACGTCCAGGGGGATTACAGCTTTTACCGCTGATTTGTTGTGAAATGGAAGGCTGTGTCAATATCTGCCACGCGAAACTCCCGACTGGAGGTGACAGGACACGAGTGTGGCATTGGAAAGGCAAGAACGCATGACCCCACAGCAGTACAGCCTTTTGGCCATCACCGTTAACCCACTAGCAAGCCCGTAGGGTGCTACATACATGCATACTTGATTCCAGTTTGGGTCACAGCCTGGGGGCCGGCGCCACAAAACCATTCTCCGAGAGCGTGTCAGAACGCAACGGGCAAGCCTACGTGAAGGAATTCCGAGCGAATGTGTACAGGCCAATGAAAATACCTCATCCAGCCCTTCGGGTAAGAAGAAGATTCGGGGGGGAAAGAGTGCAGCTGTCGGATTGCGATCGGCGTCCGATCGGATTCGCGATTTTTCTCTATCTCGCTCTAGCTGTCTCTCTCTATCGCTCTATCTCTCTCTCTCTCTCTCTCGACCTCGATGGCTATCGATCTCACTGCCTGCCCGCCGATCTCAATATCTATACATCGTCCACACTGCCTACAAATTAGCCTCTAGTCTGGGAGCTACTGTCTATATATATATATATGTACCAGAACCACGCGCGAGCTTCGTGCGGGCTTAGATTCTAGCGAGCTCAATATGTAGTCTAAGGTGACAGCACCGGGGGACACGTATTGTCACACGGATCGTGCCACTCGTGGAGTTCGCCTGCGGCCCCAGAGACAGGCTTGGCGAGCGTCTCCCCGCCCATCTCAGCCCACCCCTCGCAGGGATCGCGCCCCACAGGGAGCCCCACCTACGTCCCGGGAGCCCCTTCGGGGCCTCACTTGCACGCGCATGCGCGAGGGGCACCGTAGGAAATCCCTGTGACGAGCCTATGGAACATGAACTCCCATTCTTATGGAACCGAGCAGGACCTAGTCGAAAACGTTTGATTGTAACGGGCGACATCGCTCTCGCTTCATCGCCACGCAAATGTTCATTGTGTTACGCTCCCTCGCGGGGGCTGCCGAAAGACTTGCCTCGGCAAGCTCGGCGAGGGCTGGTGAGAAACGTGGGGGGGGGGCCAAGAGAGATTGTCACGAGAATGTTCCAGCAGAGGGCTTCTAGAATTTCCTGGAGGGTGCGATGAAAAGGACCAACATGTCTGTAATATCCCGCTGCCGTGCGCAGCCATCGTCGTACACATTGGGCAGACTCGCGAACCCCTCGCACATGGAAGTTGTCCTGGGGATCCTCTTGGAGGTTGGGATTCCTGGGTGTGTTCTTGGGGCATGGAGGAAGAGGAGGGGGAAAACGAAGGGAAAGCTGTGTGGGGTTGTCTGGAGACCCTCTTAAGAAGCTTCTAGGCCCCTCGTTGGCCTCTGAGGCCCTCATGGAGCTTTCCTGGCAATGGCTCGCGATGTACGTGGGGGGACCCACGAGGATGTAGTCCGACAATGTGCATTGCGATGTGCATCTAAACATGCATCTCGATGTGCATTCCGAAGAAGCGGCAACGTTCACATCGATGCAAGTTCGATCTGCACTTTAATGTGCACTTCGATGTGCACTTCGATTTACATGTTGAGCTGCATATCGATGTCACTTGGATTCGAAGTTCAATATGTGTTCCGATTGCATTTCTATCAACTTCCACATGCATGTCGATATGTAGTCTGATGTGCATCGCGATGTCCATGTCGGTGTCCACTTCGATGTGCTTTCCGATGTGCATGTCGCTTGCGGTACGCCTTAGTACTTGATTTACATGTCGAGTTGCACCTTGCTGGCAATTGAACTTGCGTTTCGAAGTGCGTTGCGACTGCCAGTCCGATTGCAATTGGAATTCACGGTTCAGTTTCTGGTCCCACGGGACAACTGACGCGACAACCACGGGACGACCCGAAGGGCAATCCACGGGACAACCCGTGGGACAGTCCACGGCACAACCCGGGGGCAACCCACGGCACAACCCGCGGGCAAACGCGGGACAAGCCCCAGGACGACCGCGGGACAACCATTGCACAACCACTGGACAATCGAGGACACCCTCGGCCAGGAACCGCGCAACTCATCGTCGCCCTCGGCACAACTTCGCCTCGCCCGCACGCTTGACAAGAGCCGAAACCGAAACCGATTCCTGGCTGAGGTCACTTGGCTCTCCTCCATAAGCCTCCGATGGGAACGTCCGCGACGTGCTGGGAAGAGAGCGAAACGTTAGCGCCTGACCCGAAATGCCTGATTATCTTGCCTGATGCGACAGGCGCCAGAGCCTATATCCCGAGCGCCACCCTTGCGAAAGCAAGATCGGTGGTTCAGAGGTGGGGTCCTGAGGGATGGGGGCCTCCAGACGAGGTGCCTCAAACCATGCAAATCCACCCGTTGGAACCCTTCCTGCCCTTCGACTCCCATCCCTCGGGGCCCCGTCTTTGAACCGCCGACAAGAGTAGAGCAGTGGATCGACCACAGAATCGATTTACCCCAAAACTGATTTCCTTGTCGAGTCCATGAAACATTCGTATGATATTCCTCGGTCTACGGAACATTCTACGCATGTGTGATGGATTCGACCAGAAAATCACTCTGGGTAAATCATTACGTTGTCGATCCCCTACTCACAAGAGGGAGAGGACGTAGTGGCGACGCAGAAGATCACTGCACCGTCGGACGTTGGCCTGTGAAAAGGCCGTCGCCGGCCGCCATGCTAAACGTGGGGCGCGGGGCATCAGGAAATATCCGAGCGCTTGGGCGCTGCTTGATCGGGGGGCGGTTAATGGGGTGGAGAAACGTGCTCCTTCCGTGTCTCTTTTGGACCCCAGGGGGGGCCCTTTTAGGGCTCCATCAGGGCACAGAAGGTGTACCTTTCTGCGCCCATCCAGTGTATCGCCCCCACATTACGCAACGCCCGATGCGCATCCTCACACGACCTTTCAGGAGCTTACTCAAACCAGCTGCTGAGGGCGAGCTCAACCGGTCGGCCAGGCAGACGAACGGGCCAAGGAGGCGGGAGGGGGGAGAACGAGGAGAGGGAGGGGGAGGACGAGGAGGGCGAAGGATGCGGACGAGGACAAGGACGAGGAGGACGGAGGCAAGACGCGGCGAAGTCGAGCAAGTGAGGGCGAAGCCGAAGAGGAAGGGCGGAAATGAGGAATGAGTGGGCACGACGACGACGACGACGACGACGACGACGACGACGACCGGGGCTTTTAGACGCTCGGTGGCCTCTTGGAGCCTCTGGGGCACCCTCGTCGCCACAGCTGGACTTCCTCGAGAGATCCTGGTCAGAGCGCGCCCAAGCAGAGCTCGGGGGAGGGGGCGGGGGGGTCGAGGGAGGGAAGGGCGAGGTGGAGGGAGGAGAGGAAGGGAAGGGGGGAGAGGAGGGAGGGGAGGGAAGGGGGTAGGGAGGGGCACGAGGAGGGGAGGGGAGGGAGGAAGGAAGGAATGAGGGAAAGAGGGGACGAGAGGCGGAGCCATGCTCTACCCTGCAAGCCAACGAAGTGCTGCACACGGTCTCCATGCTCTCCACCAGCGCGGTCATACCAAGAAACGCCTGCAATGAACAGGGGGCTGCTGCATTCTTCCCCCTTTCCCTGCCAACCTGCTCGACGAGCCCGTGGGCACTCTTGCATTTGCGCATTCCGTGCGCAAACATGCCTACGTAGCTGCAAAGATGCACGCCCACACTCGCGCCCGCCTTTTGCATGAAGGCGATGGCCCATGCGATGAGAATGGCAAGGAAAGGA